TGTTCCGTGGATGTCGAGTGGCAGAAGCAAAGGACAAAATAATTAAAGATCATTTTCTACGAGATGCAATTCTCGCTGACGATTGTTTCGTAATAGAGTAACTTCTTAACGAATTACCTCCTCGATAACTAATGCTACTTAATTGGATTCTCTGTCTTCTTCAATAGAATGTTTTATTAATCCATTTGCATCGCGATGAATTCCTGTCAGCGAAGTCTAGACTGACGAGAAACGAATAAATAAATACAAATGAACAACGATTTTCATAATCGACCGAGAAGTGTCTCCGGCGGTAGTAACTCGATGATCGACGTCTGTAACTTTCCTCGCAGCGAGACAAAAAAGAATCAAGGTCAATGTCTCTTGATTATAAATTTTTACTCTTATCAAGTACCACAAGTTCCCACAAAAATGGTCTGATAGTTACGCGTAAGAGCTCTACTTTCTTCCACGATGACTGTACGAACGCATTTCGAACTGTCTCTTGCCAAATATTTTTACTCGAGTTACGTGCGACAAAGCCGCGGCTGACTCGAAGGAGGACGCGCAACGATCGCTCGACTATTTCAATTGTTCCACATCGAGCGGGAGGGAAAACTGGTCGAGCGGCCAGGCTGACAATGAGGCGAAGCTGCTTCGATCGCCAAGTCGTGATTCAGCGGCGATTGGAAGCGGCGAGTGCCAAGGAGTGGCGGCGACACGCGCGTACACGTGCTCCGCGTCGCCTCGCTGGTATTCCAGTGAATCAACAAGTGCCCTAAGCCCGTGGTGGCTCTAACCGTGGCTGGCGATGCCATCGGAGATGGGATCGAGTGGCTCGCCACAATATTCATTCCTTCAACTCTTATTCTTAAACAAATCATCTTTGCATAAACGAGAATCTTCAATTCTTGAACAATATCAACAAAATGACCAATTTGTGATTTTCGTTGGATATTTTTCGCAGATGTATCTTTTAGAAGTTTAAATGAATAAAAGCTGGTGCGCTTGTATTATATTTGTATCGTAAAGTTTTTTACTTCGACATCTCCGGATGGAAATTTTATTCAACGGATAATAAAAAGCAGCGTCATTCGTATGCAGATAACTTCTACAATCACTGTAGAGTTCTTTTATACAACACTGAATTGGGAAATCTGTTCCTCTGGATCAACATTATTTTTTTATAATTAACATATCTTCTATAATTAACAGTAATATTGGAGCTGGATGAAGATGATTCGACTCGATTTTAAAACGTGACGTGTTTCAACATTGACGTCAAACGAAAAACTGAAGAATCGATAGTGACAGAGACAAAAATTGAGACTTTGATGAAATCTTAAAGTCGAAATCTTTAAGTACGTTTTAACGTGCGTGGGAAACCTTAAGGATTCGCTGGATTCGAACAGTTCAGAACTAGTAAACGAGACAATCCAGTATACTCGCAACTGAGTAATTAATAAAGAAGACATTATCGAGAAACAATTCGATTATTGTTTCGTGACTCTGCAGTGTGTCAGACTCGATCCCATCCCTAGCGATGCGTCGTCCGCAATAACGCGCGCCGCCTGGATTCCGATAAACCGGTCAAACCGATCGTACGGACAGTCCTCTTAGCTTCGTTCACATCGCAAAAAAAAAAAAAAAAAAAGAAAAAAGAGAAAGGAAAGAAAGAGACCGTCACGAGAAGAGAGAACTCGTTCCTTATCGAAAATTCGATGTCGATGTCGATGTCGAGTGCCTGGCGTGCCGACAAGTGCCACGTACTATTGCTCCGTGTCTCTCACGTGCGGCTCTTGCTTCGAAGATCAGAAGTTCAGAGGATCAGTGGATCAGATGAGGATCGGAGACGACGCGTTGCGAAGACCGATTGAACGGAGAGTGTGTAATCGTTCACGGAACGCTGTTCACGCGTATTCCACGTCCGTGGAATTTTGAATGTTCGAGAGGGGTTTCGAATATTTTCTAGATGAATTTGTTGGCTAAAATATCGGACAGATTCCTGAAATATCGATGATGTTTTAAGGTGTATTTATTTCGGAGGTTATATATATATAAAGAAAAAATTGAAAATACACAAGATTTTACGAAGAAATTACCATGGACTTACACTTAATATATATGCTCAATATACTTAATGGAACTCCATCATTCGTTTCATCCTAGTTTTTCAGCGTGAATAGAGTTGAAAAATCATTCCTGATATAGTTACACGAGAAACGTCGATGCCTGCGTTTACGTGTCAGCAGAATCTAAAGAACATTCAGAAACATTGTTGAATTTATTGAGAAATAATTCGACACGAATAAAAACCCGATGTTAATTAAAAACGTAGTTGAAATTTCAAGTACAAGAGTAAAATTTAAACGGCATCTAGGTGAATCAGAAACTGGAGACAACGCTGGGTACTTTATTGAAAATAAAAGTAAAACCCATCGTCGTCTGTTTCGTTCACGATACTAATTGAAAGTACACTTGAAACTTTGTTCGTATCTAAGTATCATCTAAAACTAAAAAAGCATCTTGCGTGATTTTTCTCCGAGATCGAAGAATAATCTGCTTCCCAGATCAAGAACGTCACTGTGGCACAACGTTTTAATAAAATTCGCACCTGACCCACTCGCGATAGTAATTACAAGCATTTTTCTTATTTAATCAAACGATCTTCGACATCTTCAACAGCAATAATAATCATGATTTTACTTATAATTCATAATGGGCAGAGAGATATTAATTCCTCGAGGTCCAAAAGACGAGAAACGATGATGTACCCGTGGTCCAGCGCATTGCACGAGTGTGTAAATTAAAGAAGGGAATATTTCACGTGCCGCGGCGGAATATTACTCGCGGGCAAGATATTTGAGGAATTAATTACCACATCGACGCGCTGTCAAGAGGAAACGAATTATTTGTTGGCGTCCATCTCCGCGTCAAAAATACGAGAACTTTTTAATTTTAATTTTAACCGACGGCGAAAGCGTTTTCGTGAAAGTCGGGGACAAAAGGGACATTCCTCTTCTTCTTTTAGTCGCGTCATCAACAATTTATTAAACAAATGACCGTCGTTTATCGTTTGTGGTTTTTAAAACAGACGCAAGACTCGCGAGTTTTGTGCAATGAATTGTTTGACTGGTAAATGGCCGAGAATTTCGTGAATCCGTAAAGATTTTAATGATTCTTTTGCAAAATATTAGATGAAATAGATGAAAATTGTTTTCTGCGAACTGTAATTTAAGCTTCATTTATTATCCGAGTTCAAATTACATTTTAGTTCAGAGTATGAACGTAGCTAGTTAAAACAACTAATTTAATGGTAGGAGATAAAATAATAATTATTTTCCGGTAGATATATAGACTTTTCGTAATTAACAACAGACTTGCTAAAAATGGTAAAGGTGGTCAATTTTTAAAAATAGAAGTTCCATTAAATTTAAAAAATTCATTGAATTTGTTGATCTGTAAACGTAAATGGACGCTCGTGTCCTTCACTTTCTGACACGACTGTTATACTTTAATCACTGGTACTGAAAGAAGAAAAAGAAAAAGAACGAAGAAAGGAAACGTGCAACGTCCCGTTTAACGTGCACGATTTTCACTGATGCGACTCCTACGCGATTCTCTGTGACGCGAGGAAACGGAACGCATTATCAAATTCAACGGAGGGAAGGGAAAAATTATTTCGCAAGTTCCTCTACGTGTAAAATCGAGAATGTTTTATTCATGAACTCATGGTGATTTTAAAAGTAACTCGACTAGTCGACGATTTAACGATTCTAATAAATATGAACCAATAAACATTGCGATAAATATGTATCAGTTTCTTGCGAGAATGGAGAACTACGCAGACGTTTCTTTCTTAATAGTTTTTACGATTTCTATTTCAATCGCGTGTGCAATCGTAGCAGTTGTTGCAATTAAGAGTGGCTTCTACCGGCGTAGGATTTAATTTCATTGTTTGAAACTTGATTTATGCTATCCTCTCTCTCTCTCTTTGGAATTCTTTTTCACGGAGATTTTATTTTCATTAAATTGTTGTTTCTCGATAAAGTTCCTGGTCAACGCGCTAACGAAAGTTTAGCAGAAAATATTTTTTTTATCTTTAGATTCAAAAATCTAGAGTCTTATTGTATGACCGCAAGCTTTGGACAATTCTTTTCTATTCTAAATATAACGAGGAGCCACTGTATCTAACAAAATCTAATTCTTTCTCGCAAATTAAATTTAACAGATCTGCATCTTCTAATCTCTATTAATCACAAAAATCCTCAAAAACATATTCAATTGCAAAAATTGTCAATCAAATTAGCCTAGAAAAATCAAATCCTGAATCCCTCCCTTCTAACGACAAGACAGAGAAACACAAGGTCAAGACAAGATAAACTCCATCAGAAAATCGGATCGGCGAACAACGTGGTAGCGCGCGCGATGGAATCGCCAACGATATCGTTCTCCCTCGGCGTTCGAGGCGGTCGAACAAAAGCGACGAACACGAGAGAACAGCCAGCGAGAGGAGGCAAGAGGACGAAGAGTACGAGGCGAGAGCGATAGCGGAAGAGAAGGAGAAAGAGCGGTGAAGATCGGAGTGCGGATCGCGCGGGTCGTCCTCGTGCTGGTCGCGCGTCATGGCGTGTGCTCGCCGCTTCTTTTTTCTTCGGGTTTCGCTGCACCCCGTTTCCACGCGATGGCCAGGAGTATAACAGTAGTGTTAGTGATAGTAGTAATAGTAGTAGTAGTGGTGGTAGAAGCAGAAACAGAAGCAACGACAGAGAGAGAGAGAGAGAGAGAGAGAGAGAGAGAGAGAGAGAGAGAGAGAGAGAGAGAGAGAGAGATCCCTCCATTCTCTCTCGGTCGAGCAAAGTACGTGCAGGTGTGCACGAAAAGGTCCTCTCCCGCGCGCTCTCTGGCACCAACGAAGAGGCCCCCCTGCGCCACTCGACCGAGCACGCTGAAACACGCTGCTCGCCGAGAGCTCATGGATAGACACACGTACAGAGAAAGAGAGAGACGGATGGAGGGAACCTGCGCCGGGCCCAACAGGCCCCCCGATCTGTGGGAACTGTTCTGCCCGCGAGCTTCCCACGATACGCTCCGGCTGCTGTGGCTGGCTGTGTGCACGGGCTGCACGGTTCACTCGTGCGTCTCTTCCCCTTTCCGTTTGCCCCTGTCCCCTTCTGGCCGACACCCTTCCCCCCGTGACTGAAGAGTCCCCGGACTGCAGCCACGGAAGGGGCAACGCGATGGGACAGTTGGTGGGAGGGATCTCCTCGCGGAGGGTATAAGTAGCCGATCCAGTCCCCACCAGAGACTCAGAACCGTCGTGAACACGGTGGGGCACACGGCTAGTCTCGGCACTCCGAGAAAACGCACACAGAAACAATCTTACACGCAAGCACGCACGCACGCACGCACGCACACGCTTGTCTTGCGTCTTTCAACTCTTATCAATCCGATCGCGGGACACGTCTCGAGTTCCCGTTTCAATCCGTTTCTGAATTTTGGTTTGTGACAAGTGGCTATCTGCGAAGAATCGGTAAGGGAGAGGCATGGCACCGCACACCAGCTACACGCCGGTCGCCAGCATGGAGTACGAAGAGCCAGTGTCGAGGACCTATCAGTACAGGAAGGTCATGAAACCGATGCTGGAGAGGAAGAGGCGAGCGAGGATCAATCGCTGCCTCGACGAGCTCAAGGACCTGATGGTGACCGCTCTGCAGGCCGAGGGGGAGAATGTGGCCAAGCTGGAAAAAGCCGACATACTCGAGCTCACAGTCCGTCACCTGCACACGCTACGAGCCGCGAGAAGGCTCACGCTGACGCCGGAGAACAGCTACGCGGACAGATTTCGCGAAGGATTCACCCAGTGCGCTCAGGAAGTATCGTCGTTTCTGTCGACGCCTGTCGCCGCGGCGGTTCACCCAGCCGCCGGTGCCCAATTGATGAGACACCTCGGTGGCTGTCTTCGACGACTCGAAGGCCCAACAACGTCCACCACTCTCGCCACCAACGCCGCCTCCACGACGACGACGATGACAACGACGACGACGTCGTCGACGACGGTGGTGACCAGCGTCGGTAAAACGACACCAGCCGCCACCAATCCATCAGCGAACGTGACCGTCAACGTGCCGCAGAACGTTTACACGCCGCCGCAGAGTCCCATGAGCGTGGCCAGTTCGTCGGGGGAGTCTACGGAATCCTCGAACGCTGTCTGGCGACCTTGGTGAAGGATCATTCTCATCGAGAGAATGAAGCTCGACGATCGATGATCCCGAGTTGATCAAACTCGGTCCCTTCCGGTTCCTTCCTGAAGGCGAAGCAAAAGAGAGACTCGTTGGCCCAGGGAGCGGGCCAGAGGACGAATAACAAGGAGGGAAAACGACGAATCATTTGTCTTCCACACGTTGAAAATTGTTGGACCTCGTTCGCGTTTGTCGAGGGACTATAGGACTTTTTGGTTAATATACTCGCACATAGGATGATAAATGTAGTTCTCGTTAAGTAATTGATAATGGTATCTCGGCACTTTCGTTCACCGAGAGGAGCTCTATCTTCTCACGCTCTCTTCTTTTTCTCTCTCATCTCCGCTATTGTATTGTAAATAAATGATGAAGCTTTAAGTGACACACGTCTGTGATAGGGTTCGATTTTTGTACCTGAGATGTAAACTATATTCTCGTAAATGTAGAAGGATTATTATTATTATTATTATTATTATTATCATTATTATTATTATTATTATTATAGATTTTAATTTGTTACGTTTAAGAGGCAAGATTCATTCTCTTTTTTTTTTCTCCTTTTTTTTTTTAGACGTAACGGTGTTTTTGTTAAAACCGATCGCACGTTGTGCATAAATCAATAAACGCATTGTTTCAATCTTAATTGTCGTTGATTTTTTTTGTAATTTGATTAACTTCCTTTTGTCGTCCTTGATCCTTTGAATCCCTTTGGTCTATTAATGACTGGTACTCTGTCTAATTGATGTTAATTAATGTTTATACCAAGAGAGAAATCTGGTATCTTATATACCAGATCAATATATCTCAGATGTAGTATGAATTATAATACCATATATTGTATGTGATAATTTATCGAAATCAACAGAAATTTGATTCTTCCGTGCTTGTAACTAATAAAATGACAAATGTGTCTTCTATACGTTGCCTTCTCTTTAAAAACAGCTTGTAAAACATTTTCGGTTGTTAATAATTAGCAAAAGATACAAATTCAATTTAAAATGATAGAAAGGATTAGAAAGGAACGACTTGGAAACATAAAATCACGGTGTCACGAATAAAATTTCTTCTTATTAAAATTCTAAAATCATTCTAAAATCATGAAATATCTACAGAGGTGGACAGAATGCATATAAAAACATATGAAATATCCTATTTTAGAACAGAAGAAATAAGATACCCTATTTTTTTAACGATATGTATGAAAATTAAATTATTAGGGAATTTTTGTTATTTGAGAATTGTTATTAAATTATTAAAGAGAATTATTATATAATTATTAGAGAAATATGTGAATTTCGAACGACTCAAACATACCAAAGTCGGCGCCTTTTCTCGATCTGCACATTTCAAGATCCATCCAAGGAGTACGCAGACTTTCGCCTGATTGACTGTATCTTACAATAATACCCAAACATGGTCTTTTACGCACAAAGATTACCATCGCGCCGTAATAACTCTACTACCTATCTACACGCGTAATTATGTACGAGTAATAAAATCGTTTCGGGATGTTGCTCTTATCGGCGATTAAAATTGTATCCTGTCAAAAAGCATGGAAACGTCTGTTTCATATACTTTCTTTCAACGATCGTCTCGCATGTATCACGTATCTTCCTTACCCGTGTTCTCGATCCATGTTAAATCAATTCTGGTGATTACTGACGCACGAGAGGAAAGAAAAAAGTCAGGGAAAAAAGAAAAAAAGAAAAAATACGCGATCCCAGTGATAACCTAATTTCGACGGATCAATGATTCGCTACTTTCACGACACGAGGACCCATCAATCGTCTCTTCTCTCGAGCTCTTCGCGCCGACCGTTTCGCAACTTACTCTACAGAATGTCCTGTAATTTTCGATCCTGTAATTTCGCCAGGCCATCGAAAGGACGGCGACTCTTTTGTCGAAAAAAGAATAAGAAACTCGCACGACACGAGAAATAAATTTTCGACTTGGCTTTCGATAAGCGAGACAGAGAGAGAGAGAGAGTTGTTACAAATCATCCTCCCTTGATTTATTAATGACAGCAATTTGACATTATGGGTCTTTGTTCTTTATTTCTGACTGTGTCTGAGGAATTTTAACAGTCTTTCAGATACCATTCGAACAATAGTTGACCAGCAGCGTGAAGAAATCAGTAGCTGAATTAAATATATACGTATTTCAGTGTTCGCACAAAATTTTTTAAAAAGTGGACTTGCATAACATTACTCTTTTCTTAATTTTCGTAACGAGTGTCGTGTTGTTTGTTACTTGAGAAAGATATTTCTGCAGTCGGTGAAATTGGATCAATTTCGAGTTGACGAATCTTCAAATCTCATTCTCTCGCAAACAAAGTCTCAAATAAAAAAAAAAAAACTCTTCTGTGCTTATTCTTCCGCCTTCGAGCCACCATTTTACGGACATCGAGTACACTCGGAAAAGAAATCACGCACGCACGCACGTTCGAGGAGTGAAATTAGAGGTATTGTAACCGCACTTCTAGCAATAAGCTTAAACTTCCCGTACATACGTCGGAACACGCATCACCGGCGATTCAAATCACTTTTCCCGCCAATTCCGGATTCACTTTCGACGCACGATCCGAAACCAAGCCTATAAATTACAGATCAGCGAACGCTGATCGAGATCGGATGGCGGTTACCGATTAAAAACCGTAATAACGCGGGGACGCGCAGATGTTTTTTCGTCTCGACGAAGAGGAAAGAGAAAAAAAAAAAAAAAAATGGGGGAAAAAAGGAAGAAAAGATCGGAGACGCATGATTGCAGCCACGTCGAATTTGCAAGCAATCATCGAAGGTTTATCCGTTAATAGTGACCGATCGAGTCACGCTTTCGCACTTACACACGAATTCATAGCTCATACATAATAATCTACCTACCTAAATATCAATTATATTGAATTAAACAAGCTTCGAACTTTAAATAAACTGTCAGCAAATATTGATTATGTCATAAATTATAAATTTTATAATCGTCAATGTAAATTATACGTCATAAACTGTAAACCTTACAACCGAGATATATATATCGTGATATATCGCGATAAATATCACAAAAACCACGTTTCTAGAATGACGTTTACAATTTTTGTGAAACTGTGGAATCCCGTATGCAAAAGATCGGAGACGCATGATTGCAGCCGCGTCGAATTTGCAAGCAATCATCGAAGGTTTATCCGTTAATAGTGACCGATCGAGTCACGCTTTCGCACTTACACACGAATTCATAGCTCATACATAATAATCTACCCACCTAAATATCAATTATATTGAATTAAACAAGCTTCGAACTTTAAATAAACTGTCAACAAATATTGATTATGTCATAAATTATAAATTTTACAATCGTCAATGTAAATTATACGTCATAAACTGTAAACCTTACAACCGAGATATATATATCGTGATATATCGCCATAAATATCACGAAAAACACTTTCTAGAATGACGTTTACAATTTTCGTGAAACTGTGGAATCCCGTATGCAGCAACTTCGATATATATCGACTCGAGTAAAACATCACCCTAATGCGCCTCTTGCTTTCCCTTCGTCTCCTCTTCCTCTCCCTGCCCCCGCCACCCAGTTTTCTTTGCCCTGATTTTTCTCCCCCTTTTTTTTTTACCCCTCCTTCTTACCGTTATTATAGGTTCCGTTTACGATCGATCGATAACGACGGCGAACCGCCAAAGTACTTACAGGGAGCATGTCCCGATCGTATCAACGATGCATTAAGCCGCAAGAGTTGTTTTAATTGACCGGTTCGCGCGTCGTTCGTCTTTCGATCCGGAACTCGGAATCGATCGATTTCACCCGCAGATAATTCGATTATAAAATAAAGCTGCTGATTTTTCTGCAATGGTTCAAACGACGGTGTAATATCCTCAAAGGGAGGGAGGGGAGGGGGCCGAAGATAGTGGCTGATTAAGTCGTTGAAATCTTGCCATCAGCGTCTGATTTTTGATAATGCATTTCATATTGAAGATGATGCCGGGATAATTTGCACAGCTGAACTTTGAACTGGAGGGTATCTTTTGGGAGCAGAAAATTTTGGAAGAATAGTGGAAGAATATTTAAGATATTTGATGATGAACGTTATCAACGCATGATATTTACACTCGACCAAAGTGTCCGTGTAAAGTTGCTCGCGAATATATTCGAGGAATTTTTTTATAAATAATACATAGAATCTCGATACAATTTCACACGTTATGCATAAATAAAAATTTCGTCTATAATATCTCGTTCGAATATTTTCGTGAAGAGACACTGTACTCACGATTGTTCACACTTACACAATACATTATTTTCATCACGTTGTTTGCATTGCTATTCGAATTGAAACTGTACGCGAGAACTCTCAAACCCACGCGCATCGTCCTGCAATCTTGTCGATTCGTTCCACCGAATCGAAATAAATGTACTCGCAATCAGTATCGAGTTCGAGTGACAACCGTGAATTTCTCTGTTTTAGGTATCGGCCAGGCTCCATTCTGCAGAATGCTGACGACAGCTGCTGTTTATATAATTTAAATAGGTACGTGACGACCTAGGAAAATTGATTAAACGGGCCGATAACGCCTCGACGATATTTAAAAAGTTATAAACGATACGTACGCGCCGTGAGATTCGTTCGGAAGATAAACTTTCTCGTCCCTCCCGATGGGATGTAATGCGGCCGACGCATCGATATGACCGTTTTTATACGGGCTGCTGTATCGTTTAAAGAGAATTATAACGATGTCTCGTCAGTGTGCGCGAAAGCGGCGATCATTTATTTAAGCCGGCGTGTACGCAACGCAACCTCGTGTCGCGTATCTATCGCGCGGAAGAATCAAACACGATTTTCTTTTGGCAGGCGAACACGCCCATACGTTCCTCCGCGAAAGTTGTTACATCGCCGCAGTGTGCAACAATGTCGCCACATGTTACGCGATACACCATCTCGTCCGTCTTCATCCGTCTCTCGTACCGTTCACTCGTACCGTGGAAAATCGCCGTTCTTCTTCGGGTTGTTAACCGTTGAAAGTATTTCAACTTCCCTTGCATCTTGCTCTTCGTGAACTGAAACAAAAAAAGAGAAAAAAATATGAGTATCAATCTCTTGCGCTGGTATGCTACGCACGTCGAGAATTTTTTGTTGAAAATTGCAACATTTTCTCAGTTTCAAGTATATTAAAAACCCTTATTAAAAATATTAAATTTATGTATATATATAATTATATATTTTAATCTCTTACCTTTATTATAAAAAATATTAAATTTTTATATATTTTGTGTAATATTATGAATAAATATTATTATATATTTATTTTTAACAAAAATATTAAATTTATATATATATATATATATATATATATATAATTATATATTTTAATCTCTTACCTTTATTATAAAAAATATCAAATTTTTATATTTAAGTAATACAAGATAGGAAAAACAAATAATAAATTTATTACTTCTCGATAATTTCTATCCAGCGATGCCGTACCGACGAGTTCGAAATGAAAGCGACGAATTATTGTGTACGGTTTGGTCACTCGTTATGGTCCGCAATCAGCTGTCCAGCGCAAGTGGTTGCACAAAAAATGATTTCGTAATGTCAAACGCGGCAACGCAGAGGAGCACTTTCGTGAAATTCGTGAAATGATGAAAAGCCTGAAACCGAAACCTAACCGGAAGTTGTCGATGTTCGCGGCGGCGCGTTGTCGATATATCTCGAGCGAGCACGCGCGTGTGGATGATCAGCGACGTTTGTAGGTTGGAGAGGCCGCGGCGATGACGCGAAACGACGAAAGTGAGAGAACGATGGCCGATCCGATTCGCTTTCGCGCCGATAGCTCGCGGAACGGCGCTCGCGCGACGACCCAACTAAAAGCAAACACGTTTCTTCACCGTAGATGTTACAGACTGTCCAGGATGGACGTAATCGCTTGCAATCACCGTCACAAGATCGCGAGCGTCGAGTACAGCGTGGATGGCGGTGACCTCGAGAGCCAGAACGAGGACGAAGACGAGGAGATCCCGCCGTTCATCGATATCGATCAACCAGTGCTAACGCTCGGCCGATTTCCCGATGCCGATGGCGACAACAAGACACCGATCGGCGACGACATACCGCTGAGGCGAAGTCTGTTCTCGAACGTGGCGCCGTACATCGCGTTCCAGTCGTTTGACTGCAACGAACCGCCGATCATGCCACACGAAGTAACCAAATACCTCAAGTGGCATCTCAGCACGATCACGCCATTAATCGTACGTCGTACATTGATCAACTCAGGTTTTCAACTGATGAAGAGATGCCAGGAGTGGTGCGGCACCTGGGGCAAGCACATGAAGTCCTCGTGCTTCAGAACGCTGAAGGAGTCGCAGAAGATCAACCATTTCCCGGGGACGTTCCAGATCGGGCGGAAGGACTGCCTCTGGTTGAATTTGAACCGGATGATGCTGAAGCACGAGGTGAAGGAGTTCGACTTCATACCGAGGACGTACGTGCTGCCGCGGGATCTCAGCTGTTTCCGTCAGGTGTGGAAAAAGGTCGGCAGCAAGGCCAAGTGGATCGTTAAACCACCGGCGTCCGCCCGGGGTGCTGGGATCAAGGTGGTTCACCGTTGGTCGCAGATACCGCGGAAACGCGCGGTCATCGTCCAGCAGTACCTGTCCAGGCCGAAGCTGATCAGCGGCGCCAAGTTCGATCTGCGCCTCTACGTCCTCGTCACAAGCTTCAACCCACTGAAGGTCTACATATACCCGGACGGATTGGTCCGGTTCGCCTCGGTCAAGTACAACGACGACATAAACTACCTCAGCGATCGTTTCATGCACCTAACCAACTACAGCATCAACAAGACCAACTCCACGTACACCAGTAACGACTGCGTCGACTCGTGCACCGGTCACAAGTGGGCACTGAGAACGCTCTGGTCCTACCTGGAGAGGGAGCAAGTGGACGTCTCCAAGTTGTGGGCCACTGTGAAGGACATCGTCGTCAAGACGATGATCGCCGGCGAGACGAACATAACGCCCCTGACCAGGGTGAACACGTCGTCCCGTTACTGTTGCTACGAGCTGTTCGGCTTCGACATCCTCCTCGACGAGAACCTGAAGCCCTGGCTACTCGAGGTGAACATCTCGCCCTCGCTGCAATCGTCATCGACCCTGGACACTGCTATCAAAGGGCCGTTGATCAAGACTGTGTTCAATGTAGCCGGCTATCAACTGCCCAACACCTTGCCGGCCGAAGAGGCGAAAAAACTGGCGGACAAGTACCAATTCGACGTGGTCTGTCAGGACTACAGGCTGCACAAGACCGTGCTCAGCTACCAGGAACGGGTGAAACAGTCGGTTTACACGAATCTGAAGAATCGGGAGGAGTATCTGGAACTGATAATCAAGAACTTGACACCGGACGACGTCAGGCAGTTGATCATGTACGAGGACGAGCTGACGCAGCTGGATCGTTTCGAAAAGATCTTTCCAACGGCCGCCAGCTACCCGTACCTCCAGTACTTCGACGTCCCGAGGTACTACAACATGTTGTTCGACGCTTGGGAGACGAAGTACGCAGGCAACAGGTCCGAGGGGATCATGAGATTGGAGAAACTCTGCCAGCAAAAGTATCACTTGGAGCAGCCGACCGTCTGTTAATTAATGTGTCGCGTTCCTCTTCACGGGACGCTGTTTTTCATGTGAAACCGTTTCACTCGTCGACGGGGCAACGTGACGCGTTTCGGCGAAGAGGAAAAGGGAGAAACGACAAAAGAAAAAAGGAAAAATCCCTTCTCTCTTTCTTTTATATACGAATACATTATAGATAAATATACATACATACGTGTATCACCATCTCGCTGTATACGAACGATCGGTCTAGATTGACGTCACGTAACAAAATGTTCACGTTCATGTGCCTTCTTTACAAGGTTGTGCAAATCCTTCCTTAGACGTACGACGTTGATTTTGGCTTGGCAATTTTACGACGTTGCGACCAAGCTCTTTCGTTTCGAATTTTGAGTATTTTCGCGGGAAGAAACAATGCAAACAATCCAGACGAGATTTGTAGAGTTCTTTTTGTGATACTTGTTGCGGAGGACCGTTCGTAGGTGTTTGATAACACGTTCATTTCTTATTATACTTTTTCTTTTTTTGTAAGACCAAAATTAATCAATATACTGGGATACTTAACTTTTTATTTGATGGAAGAATGACGATTATTGCGGAGCGTTAATTTGGTAATCATTGAAAATTATGTTAAACGTACTGCATGTGATAAAATTAGTGAGTAACAATATCAATGAAATTATCGGAATTTAAATTGGAATTTAATTTTTGAAAGACGAAGATCACTGTAGAACGTCATTTGATGATTATTATTAAAAATTATATTGATAAAACGTTTGATTTTTATTGAGGTAACGAAATTGCAGTTATTTAATTCTCGATTCACCAGAAAAAGATTATTTAACAATTAGCTGTTCGATGAAAGGATAACAATTACTATTATATGTATTTATTTCAAGATCACTCTACTGATAAATTCAATTGTTCCTTCGTTTGTTATTAATAATTCTAATATAACGGAACGTGTTAATGAACAAAATCCGAATGGCCAAGAGAATAAAAACTTATTAAAATTTTCAGTCCGAAAGCCTTAGTTTCGTGAATTTGTATCGAGTACGAAATAAAGTAAGTAAGATATAAGTAAATAAAAATGATTTCGAACATTGTACTACTGTAATTTTTTTAATTTCTAATGGTAAAATAAAAAATAAAAAAAATAAAGATTGATATCGACGTATGTTTCAATTTCCTCTCCTACATTATACTCTTCGCCATACATTTCACTTGCAATGTACATTTCAGCATCCACTTAACAAATTTCAGCCATTTTCTATTCACAACTTTGAATCATCGGCTATCGATCCCGTAAAGCTCCAACTTCAAGGCAGGCGACAGCCCAGAAAACTTTCCAACTTCGCTCCTCTCACCTTTCGTTAACCCCAACTATCACCATTTTCGGCCAAACACTTTAAATTCCCGGTGAATCTTACAACAAAACGCAAAAGTGAAAATTTAAAAAAATTTAAAAAAAAAAAAAAGAAAGGAAAACTGACGAAAGAGGCAAAGAGGAAGATCGACATGACGTCCCGATCGAATCGAGACTCCTGCACGAATACCAGCTCGAGCAAACTGTCGTTGGACTGCGGTTCGGAAGAAGACGAGATGTACTCGTACGTGGACATCACCGAACGTCTGATACTAGCCAGATCGATTCGTCGAATTAGCGATCCGGTAGGTGCTGGCGACTCGAAGAACTTGTCGCTACCGATGCGTTCGAGCCTGTTCGCCCATGTGCCCCCGTTCATCATCTTCCACGCGAACGGAACCACCACCAAGCTGCCGATCCAAATGACCAAACATCTGCTCTGGTGGATGACGAAGAAAAACACGCCGAAGATCGTGATGGCGATGGTCCGCAGGTCTGGATTCAGGACCACCAGCAAGCACGCTGACAACTGGTGCGGCACTTGGTGCAGCACGTCAGCTTATGAGAAACTCGGACGGACCAATAATTACTCCAAGATCAATCACTTTCCAAGCAGCGCCGAATTAGGCGACAAGATACTGCTCTGGCGGAACTTTCGACAGATGAGAAGGAAGTTCGGCGCGAAGCATTTCGACTACGTGCCACTGACGTTCGTTCTGCCGAGCGAGAGGCTCGGTTTGAAGGGAACGATGAAGAAGAACGGCGGGTTCTGGATCGTGAAGCCGCCGGACTGTTGCGCGGGTACCGGTATCAAGGTAGTGTCGAATCTCGACGAGATTCCCAATTATCGTTCGTACGTAGCTCAGAGGTACATCTCGCCGCCTAGATTGATCGACGGCGTGAAATTCGACATGAGGCTGTACGTGCTGTTGACCAGCATCGATCCTCTGAGGATCTACGTCTACAACGAGGGTCTGGTCAGGCTGGCCACCGTCAAGTACGTCGATCACATGAACACACTGTCAGACAGGTTCATGCACTTGACCAACACCAGCGTAAACAAGGTCAGCCCGAACTTCCAGCCCAACGACGATCCGGACGCGTGCAAGGGCAACATGTGGTCGTTGAACTGTCTGTGGAGATATTTGGCCACCACGGAGAGCGTGGACGCTGTGGAGATTTGGACCAAGATCAAGGACATCGCTGTCAAGACCGTGATATCCGCGGAACCCTCTTTGTACAGAGCTTGGAAGAGAACCTCGCTGACGACGTACAATTTCTACCAGCTTTTCGGCTTTGACGTTCTACTCGACAGTGAGTGCAGACCTTGGCTCCTCGAGGTGAACGATTTCCCTTCGATGGAACCAGACACGCCGTTGTGCAACCTCGTCAAGGGACAGTTGGCCAAGGATTATCTGAATCTAGTTGGCTTTCACGTGCCCGATCTGCTGACCGACAAGGAGTTGAGGCTTCTCAGATCGTTCTACAGGAAACACGCCATTTGCTACAATCGGCAGTTGTACTCGAACGTACTAACGTGGCAAGAGCGAAAGAAGCAGTATCATTTTTTGAACAGGAAGTACAACAGGAAGTACTACCTGAGATCGATTCTGAAGAGTCTGACGCCTGACGACGTCCGGGTTTTGATCAGACACGAGGACGAGATCGCTCAGACCGGCCGTTTCGAGAGGATATTCCCCACGCCCGACACGTTCAACTATTTCGCGTTTTTCGAGGAAGACAGGTACTACAATTTGCTGTTGGACGCGTGGGAGAACGAGTACGGACGCGATCGATCGAGAGGTATCGAGAGGCTGAGGAAACTTTGCAGAAAGAAGTATCATTTGTCTTGAAAAACACTTCAACAAATATAATATCGAGACGATGGGTGTAAAATTTTTGAATAATTTAGAAGCAATTGAAATTGACAAGTGTTTAAATAACTTTGTCGCAATACGCAAAAGATCAACCGATATTGGCAATTTCAAATGAAAAAAGTCTCCGATAAATTTTGTATCATTTTGTAAATAATTCGCCAAGTAGTATGTAAAATATTAATGTGCAGCAATTTTCTTCGACGTTTCATGAAATTCGTACAAGTTGTACATTATTTGCTTTTTTAGTTTAATCAATGGAAAAGAACAAACAAGGTACACATCGTTATACATAAAGATTAATACTATGAAATACAATATTTCAATAGTTACAAAGCGTGCAATATTTTCCGATTCCAGTGGAATTGATACAGAGGAATTGTAAAATATTAAAGTTTTATAGAAACAAACGATTAATTATTAAACTGAAATAATATAACCAATGATGATTTTCTGTAAATATATAATTAAACAAAGATTAATTTTTCACCGGTGGTGTGCATTATTCATTAAACATCGCGTTAAATTTACCTTCAATTTGTAAATTGAACAAAATATACAATAAACTTCAAACGACGTCTTATTGATTTAAAAAAATTAAATCTGAAGAACAATAGTTATTCCTCCTGAGACAAATTAATTTTATTTCACATCGTACGAAAGAAAAATAAAAAGAAAAAGTATTAAAGACGCGCAGCAGGAGAAAACTTTATTCGACGCAAACAGGACGATAAAAAAAAAAAAAAGAAAAAGAAACATATAGAACAATTCGGTTAAAATTAATCGCTACATATTGCCTTGCCAAAATTAAAGTATCAAAAACGGCGGAAGATTGACAGGGTAGATAGCTGGTAGGCGGCTATAGTCATTTTACGCGTAATTGGAACGGAGCGGACCTTCGAGGAATTAAATAGTTTCACGGCTGTAACACAGCGTCGGGTTTAATAAATCCGTACTAACAATTTAATGTCTCTATTGTGACCGCGACGGCCGACGGTACCGGCAACTGAACTTGATTAGGTTAATACGAAAGGGGACCAGATTTCTTCGCTTCCGCCCTTTAAATTCAATTACCAGACTGTGCTCCGTCAGTTAAAACATCGTGTGTCAGTTTTGCCCGGAGGAAGTAGGATCACCCGACGAAATCAATTATCTATGAAAATCATTCGTTTCGAATCCTCAGCGAGGCTTTGTATTACTCGTTCGGGAACTACCGTGTTAGGAAAAAAAAATTACAGATAGTGAATATATTACTTATTATACCAACTCCAAGTACAAGTTTACGTGCAAGACCTACAGCGAATTAGTCATAACTTATTAACCGATAGTAATTTGTAATAATATTACAACTTCTACTAAATTCGTTTTGAATCGTCAAATTATTTTTTAATATTTGTCGATTTTTAGATATCAAACGAATCCTTGGAATTCAATATTGGGATTTGGAAAGCTTCAATATTAAAAGACAAATTGTTTAGAAAAAATTTTGTCCTCTGGATTAATATTCAGTTAATGATTAATACACCAAAAACTTGTATCAACGTATAACTCGTTATCCAAATATCAAGTATTAAATTTACTAGAATATTTGTTTCGACTCTCAAATAGTCGAATGTAGATCACGATACTTGCACTCCGATTATTAAATTACCAAGGTTATGAATTTGTAACATATAAGCTTTTTCTGTATCCTCTACGATCAAAGATAATTAAAATTAAAATTAAAATTAAAATCTAAAATTAATATCCTGGAATTGGTAACGCTCGAGTTGTTTCATGTATTAATTCTAAATATTAATTTAAAAAAAAAAGATCACCGTGTGCGCGCGTTGCATTTTGGCATCAAGTTTTGTACGAACGAATTTCATTTACGAAGAAAAAGAAAAGAAATGAAAAGAAAAGGGGCGAAGAGCCGTGGCCTGTCAAATACGGGCAGCCAGCGCTCGTTTGAAGACAATGGGCTCGCACAGTGCCACGACAGTCAATGAATTGATATCGTTATTGTAACAACATAATAGACATATTTTCTTATTGAGATTGCAGTCAACTGTATGTGTAACATGCGCGCCACGTCGGCCCGCCTTTATGAATGCATTCATTCATGCGAGTCGTGCGTATGTGTTACGCAACTACTACAAACTTCATCGTGTAAGGCTAAGGACCCCGTCTTCGTATTGGGGAAATTTTGGGCTACCTCAATAAATACACGACCCGTGACAATTGGATATTTGCAATGAACATTTCATTTTTTTTTTTTTAATTTCGAATTTTAAACGACAATTACGATCGTAATATAGAAACGATGAAGCAATCGTAACGCGACTGAAATTAAATTTTTGACGCTAAAAGTAGCAAGATGATAGTTTTATAATCTTCAACATGTAGTTTCGTAGATTTAAATTTTTTTAAAAATCGATCTAGATATATTTTTGTCGTATATATTTGTAATATTTTTATTTGACAAGCTACATACTGTATTCTGTATCTACTTGTTTAATATATCTGCATAAAATCATTCATTCCACGAAAACAAATCAAACGTAGATCTTTCCCATGTACTAGATTTACGAAAATATATAATTACACTTTACTATTACATTTTTACATCAGTGAAATTGTATTTCTACCTTTTTACTTCGTTCGTTGCACACGTTGATCGAAAGCGGAGATTACTGTGATTGAAATCGGCTGGGAGTCGATTTATCACTATTTTTAATCCCTCGGAGGACTTTTTGTGGATCCATTAACGATCGCGCTTTGTCACTTGCTCAAATTGACGAAAGTCTAACGAAAGACGATTTCTCGGAAGGAACGCTGGTTATAGCCTAATTCGTGGTCGAAATTACACGTCGACCATGGATGGTAATAACAAAGGGAAGTAGAGTAGACAAAGTTCAACAGAATGAAAAAATCGCTCGTTATCCCGTTAGAATTTTATTGCTTATTCATGTTCCAAATTTGATCGTGTGACTTTTCAGAACTAATTTTCACGAAAATTGTGAAGTGGAAGTCTCATAAGTGAAGTCTTGAACGAAAAAAATGCCATTCTATCTACCCAATTTATCTCTTCATGTATCAGATTGTGTAATAAGTTCGTTCGCGCCGTGAACGACGAAATTAATGCGTATTCTTTGCAAATGAATTAAGTAACTTTGAGAGTCTCGTCTTTTTATCGAAAAACTATATGAACGTGATATTTCTATTTCTGCCTCTCTTATCCGTAAAGAACATCCTTCTCAAAATAATCAACATTCCAATGTTAATAGTACGGTGAATATTTCAATAAACTGAAGTCGATCGTGAATGAACGATTCTCTTTATATTTTAAATATCTTCAATTTCATATTACCAGGGCTGGGGAAAATTCGAAATAATTCAAATATAAAACAGTAAACATTGAAATATTTGCATGAGTAAATACTATTTGGAAATACTATATCATATAATGCTTAAATGAAATACTATTTCGTTTAAATCATGAGAAAATACTATTTGCTACTTTCACTCGGATTCAAATATCGAAAATAGTGAATTGAAAAATAAGACATAGAAATTTTAAAACTGAACATATTTCACAATTATCACTCGCTGTCTTCTATTCTGTTAGGTTGATACATTATAAATGTTGACGAGCGTAGCAACCAAGGTTGGTATGTGTGTTGTGTGAATGTTGTGTATTGATAGTTAGGAAAAATAGAAGATGAACCAGATGAAGAAGAACGAGTAGTATTGTATGTACGTCCAAAGTGTGATAAAAATATAAATAAGATAAGTATATACGGCTATGTGAGAGATAAACGTGGTACGTGTATACAGATATATGAGATATAAACGTGATACGTGTATACGTATATATATATAATATAATATAGCAAAATAATATTTCATCAAATAGTAATATTTCACAGAATACTATTTAGAATAATGGTATTGCAACAATGGTATTGCATATATATATACTATTAGTTGCAATACCGTTATTCTAAATAGTATTCTGTGAAATATTACTATTTAATGAAATATTATTTTCTTATATTTTAATGAAATACTTATTGCACAATACTATTTCCATATGTAACTACACACATGAAAAAATATTTAAATTCTATTTACTATTTCATATTTACTATTTCTCCCCAGCCCATATTACACTTGAAATATTTAGTGTTCGTTTTCTTTTCACATTTACAACATTTATCTATGCCACACGTTCCTCTGTTCAATGTCGATGGATTATGTATATTGTTCTGAATTTTCTACATGGCATACGCATACTTTTATCCTCGAAAACGTAACATTCTTCCTTCTGACCACTTAAATTGCATTATTTCAGCACCTTTGCATGACGAATCATCGTCTCTCCACTTCCATCTACGCGTCTTTCATATGCTCAATTTATCACTATAATACCGATAATGTGTGTCTCCTGCACAAACAGCAATCAACCATAACTTATCCTCGCCGATGCTTTATGTAGGTTAGCACAATTTACTTTTACAGCTTTTTGCTCGTATCTCTTCACTCGCAGAACGCCGTTTATTAAACGCACACGATCCATTTGCAACATTACACTCACACCCTTAAATCGTAATTGTACGCAAATCAGCTTTCACGTGTGACGCTTGTTTACAAAACTGTTTAAACCTGGACTCCGGGGGACAAGGTGTACCAAGTTTACAATGTAACCACTTTTTTTTTTTGCCGATTGTGACGTCACGGTCGTCCGAACTTCATTATCGGCCGAATTAACGCGATCCCGATCAATTAACGAGCTTATCTCGCTGAACCGGTCGGGGGAAAGTAACGTCTCCACGACACACTTTTTAACGCAGTCGGCGCCGCTGCACGCGCGGCAATATTTATTGCCGCCGAACTATGGGGAAATATGGGATTAATCACTCTCTTTCTCTCACTCTCTCCGACGATGTACGCAAAAAGTATTTTTAATGAGTCCGGAGATCACAGGCAAAGATTACGCGTGTTATGGACGGCGATGTAAAAAAAAATTTTCGCCGAGAGTGTCAACCGGCCTGAAATAAGTTATTAACATGTATCCGCTATAACGTTGAACGACGACGTTATGGGAATGTTCGATGTATCACGCCGTTACGTAATTTTAAGGAAAGTACGTAATTTTCGGTTCATTTTCTAAAAAAGAAGAGAACTAATTTCAGACGCTAGATTTTTCGAGCCATCAAACAGCGATAATTCGATACAATACGCAATTATTTAATTATGGTTTGATTGTTTTGTCATTAAATACGGTGAATTTTATGAAAAT